AATATGGTTTACTGAATATATTAAGCCCACTGTTGAGACCTACTGCTCAGGAAAAAAAAGATTCCATTCAAAATATGGCTGCTCATTGACAATGCACCTGGTCACCCAAGAGCTCTGATGGAGATGTACAATGAGAGTAATGTTGTTTTCATGCCTGCTAACACAACATCCATTCTGCAGCCCCTGGATCATGAAATACCTTTGACTTTCACGTCTTATTATTTAAGAAATACATTTTGTAAGGCTACAGCTGCCATAGAAAGTGATTCCTCTGATGGATCTGGGCAAAGTCAATGGAAGACTTTCTGGAAAAGGTTCACCATTTTAGATGCCATTAAGAACATTCATGATTCATGGGAAGAGGTCCAAATGTCAGCATTAACAAGAGTTTGGAAGAAGTTGACTCCAGCCCCATGGATGACTTGAGGGGTTCAAGACTTCAGCGGAAGAAGTAACTGTAGATGTGGTGGAAATAGCAAGAGAACTAGAATTAGAAGTGGAGCCTGAAGATGTGACTGAATAGCTGCAATCTCATGATAAAACTTTAATGGATGATGAGTTGCTTCTTATGGAGGAGCAAAGAAAGTGGTTCTTGAGATGGAACCTACTCCTGGTAAAGATACTATGAAGACTGTCGAAATGACAACAAAGGATTTAGAATATTACATAAACTTAGTTGATAAAGCAGCAGCAGGAGTTGAGAGAACTGACTCCAATTTTGAAAGAAGTTCTACTGTGGGAAAGCTATTAAACAGCATCACACGCTACAGAGAAATCATTCATGAAAGGAAGAATCAATCCATGCAGCAAACTTCACTGTTGTCTTATTTTAAGAAATTGCCCAGCCAAGCCCAACCTTCAGCAACCACCATGCCGATCAATCAGCAGCCATCAACATCAAGGCAAGACCCTCCACCAGCAAAAAGATTACAACTCCCTGAAGGCTCAGATAACGGTTAGCATTTTTTAGCAATAAAGTGTTTTTAACTAAGGTATGTACATTGTTATTTTAGACATAATGCTATTGCACACTTAATAAACAACTTTTATAGGGACTGGGAAACCAAAAAATTCATGTGACTCACTTTATTGTGATATTCACTTTATCGCGGTGGTCTGGAACCAAACCCGCAATACCTCCAAGGTATGCCTATAGTAATATTAACAGCAGTAGCAACAGTACCAGGACCAACGCTAAGCATTTTGGCCTTTGTTATCTCAATTACTCCCCAGAACAAATCTGTGAGACAGGTGTCATCATCCCTTAAACTTTAGGCCTTTGTTTCTTGATGATTATACCCTGGCTTTACACTTCACAGTATATCTTGGTACAACTTTATTCTTCCTATATAACACCTGGCTCTCTCTTGTCCTATCAGGTTCTCCCACGCTTCCTGCACTGAAATTGTGTTTTGTCCTGCTTGTCCTCCCATTCCACTTGAGTCAGGACCTAAAGCTTCCTGTTAGCTTTCACGTTCCCAACATCTACTACCAAACCTCTTTAAAAGGAACCACCAGACTACTCAGACCTCTGTTAATCTCCTGCTGCTGGGCTCACCCAGTGCTACAGCTGCCTAATATAGACTTCCCAATCCCTCAGGACACACTGCCCTGTCAAGTTTGCCTCACCAACTCACTCCAAAAATTTTGCCCTGTTTCAGCCACTCATTTTAAAATATTATTTCACAGCAAATGTGCCTTCTTAATTTATATTTGCTACAGCTTGATGTTAAAATGGGTTTCCTTTCCCTAGGGGCTTATAATTTATCACCAGGGAGAAAGGTCTAAAATATACCAACCTCCTGCTTAGTATGGTACCTGGAAACACAGGTTCCCATTGGTTATTTGTTGAACAATGAATGGAAAGATATAGAGTAATGATTATACATACTAGCTCAGAAATTCTCAATGGGGTATAATCCAAAGAATTTTATGTACAAATAAAAAGGAAAAGATACCAGTGAACACATATAAGCAATTCACAAAAGACAAAACATAAAAGAACAACAAATATAAGCAAATTATAGAGATACAAATTAAAATATCACTTTTTGTCAGACACATGGGCAAATATTGAAAATGTGTTAAGTAAGAAAACTGGCATTCTAATACACTTCTAATAGAAATTATTTTGTATTTTTGGTATTTATGCATCAAACATCTAAAATCTGCATACCTCCATGCCAATATTTCCATTTCTAATAATAACAAGAAAATAACGGACAAAGGAACCTAGATATATGTAAAAAAAATACTCACTGTGGCACTAACTATAATACAAAATCTGTCCAACAATAAAGGTTTGATTAAATAAATTGTAGTACTTCCAAACTATGGATTATTATGAAGTCACTTCAGGATATAATGTACTGTATAATCCCAGTTTTTTAAAATAACATGTATTCACAGAAAAACATACCTGCATAGAAAAAAATCTAGAAGTATATACCCCCAAATGTTAGCAGTGATTATCCCTGTAAAAGAATAGTGGAATTGTTTGTGATTTTTTTTCCCTTATCTATACCCCGTAATGAGTCGCACATGGATAACACAAATTCTTAAAAAGCAAAAGTAAAAATGAGCACAAGTTAAAGATAGAAGTATCATTATCGTAACACAACATGGAACATTCCCATGTTCCCTAATAATAATAATGTCAGGCAGAATTAATATCAAATAAAATATCCAGTAACTTACTATTTGACAGCCTAGTTTTTAATTAGTTCTAGGAACACACATGGAAGAATGTTAGTACTATTCAGGCATTTTAAGACGACAAACAAAAAGACCTCCCCAAGAAAAATTTAGTACTGATCCTAAAGACAGTGTTGAAAAACCACGTAGGACAATCTCAACTGTTTCAAGCTGAGCGTCAGCTTCAATCGCCCTTCCATGCCTTTTCTCATTCATCTTGAGAACCCTCACTCTAATGGGAAAGCAGTCACCATGAAAATGATACAACATAAAAATCACTCAGCAGTGTAATAATGCAATGTGACTTTAGGTTTGGCTGAAGAGAAGGTCTTCTCTATAACTTCTACTATCCCAAATGAGGTTAACCTTTCATCTCAGACTTGAATATCTGGGGGATAAAACTTAGTCAATAACAAGACAAGGACCTGAAGTGAGTCTTTTACAAGCAAAGCAAGTGTATCTCCAGGCACTGTGTACAAATTCTAGCCAAAGGCCCAGGCCATACTTGTGGCCAAACGAACGCTGCCTACAAACTGTTTGCAATGCCTGATTCAACATGCCCAGTGGCACAGACAGTTAGTAAATCTCACTAGGACTAAGCAATAAACTATAATTTTCAATGACGTTGACTGGCATAAAATGAATGATCATTTCCATCTGTCTATGGTAGAAGATGAAACAAATTATTCTAATTGTCCCCATAATTAATAGCAGGTATCCATACAGTCATTTAGTGGCTAGTTCACACCCACAACACAGTTTGCGAGTCATGTCTCATAAAGCTCCATCAACACATCCACTGGGACTCGACAGCAACTGTGAAGGTACAGGAAGCACTAAGCACAGCACAGCTTTAAGAGTCCTTTAAACCTATATTAGTAACGTCTTTGATGAAAGCAATATTTGTTGCACAAGAAAATTTTCTAGTACAAGGAGAAAATCAAATAACAACTTTGCATAAGGGAGAGATTTTATGTTAATGGCATTTGTGTAAGAAAAGCATCATATAATATCAAAACTGACGACACAATTACGTGGTTATTGTTGAAAAGAATGGAGATCTCCTTGCTTTGGTGACAACCAGAGCACCATTCATCCACTCATTCAGCAAAAACATGAAAACCATATACAATAAGACCTATTCTAAGATCCGGAGACCTAGGACCTGCCTTCACGGAGCATACCATCTAACAAGGAAGACAGACATTAATTAATTACAAATCTGAATATAACTGAGAATGTCAGGATGTCGTTAAATAAAAGGGCAGGCAGGGCGCTATGAGAGCAAATACTAGGCCTTCGAGCCAAGTGAGCCAAGCACAGGGGAAGGGAAAAGAAGTCCAGGCAGAGCAATCTGTGCAAAGCCCCTGCAGCTGGAACAATCTTGCCCAATCTAGGAAGTGAAACAGTCCAGCGTAACTGAAGCATTTAGATCGTTTCCTGGGCACACGTTAAGTCTGAGATGTATGAAAACATCCAAGTTAAGAGATCAAGCTGCTAACTGCTACGTGAGTCTAGAGCTCAGAAAAGAGGCAGACCAGGGACAAACTTAGAAGTCATTGGCTTAGAGATGGTGTGTGATGCACAGGAACTAGAGGAGATTCCTTAGGCAAGGTGCGTTGGATGGGGCAGGGGCAGGAGGGCATGTATTACTTCCTCAACTCACAAAAAAATTATTTCTTGCAATCAAATCTTGCAATCAAATTAATTACTTCCCTCTTGATTTGCAAATTTGAAATAAAGTATTTTCTAATATTATACTTATGATACAATGCCCTATTTGTTCAGAAAGATAAGATTAAATGTATGAAGTTCTTAGAGAAATGCCAAGACCTAAGAAAAATATTTTTCAGTGGGTCTAAGGCATCATACGCTAACGTTTATTTAGCAGAGCACTTCCTTATAGCCCTTTCCAGTGCCCTAGAAAAGGAACCTTTTTTTAACACACAGATACAACTGCTTCACAAGATTTGTCACTAGAAATGCTTCCAGTCTGCAGAACTGCCACCTACTGAAGCTAGATCTCAACTGTAAGCATTCTGAACACACCAAGTCCCAGAGGGATGTGACACTAAAAAGAACAGACAAACCTTCTGCTCTACATGCTCAAAAGTTATCAACCTTCAGGACTATCACTATAATCCTTAAACAAGCTCCCCTGCACAGTCTCCTATGATGAATATAGAGTATGTAATTGCTCTATAAAGCGGTGGTCAGGTTATGGTTATGGAAAAGCTGAGTTAAAATGTTTCACAATTTATGGCCCAAGCACCACATACGTATGACATGCCTTAACACAAACTCACCTGATTTATTTGAAGCATGTTAAAACAATATTGACCAAACTTCTGTATCCCTCACGGCTCCACAAACTGGAAAATGAAAATGAAGAAATAAAGTTCAACTCAGTTGGTGATTGCAATGGTTAGCACTGTAAACACATGCCCTTGATCAAAATCAAATATAAAATGGAATAGATCTAGATCAGCATAGAATTTTCTATGATGATAAACATGTTCTATATCTGCTCTGTCCAATCCAGTAGCCACTAGCCACATGTGGCTACTGAGCACTTGAAACGTGGCTAATGCAACCAAGAAAGTAAATTTTTAATTTTCTTCAATGTTAATTTCAACTTAAACGACCACATGTGGCTAATGGATACCATACTGGACAGTGCAGATCTGGGCTGAACCAAGTCCCTTCTGGTTCTAGAGCTCTAAGACAATTCCAGCAAAAGTGAAGCTGTTAAAAACAATCTAAAAGTTTCAGACTAATATCTAACATATACTCCCCTTGCTCCAGTAAGGATTTGAACAGTTTTGTTCCCATCCTCTGTAAGATAAATTAAGCCTAAAGAAGACGCCACACACATGTATACTCTCAAGTAGTATAGAAATGAGTACACAGTAAGATTAAGAAGCTGGATTTTCTTGTTTGTGGTTTTGTTTATTATCATCATCATAAAAATAGCATGCACATTAAAATTTCACATAAAATTTTCAAAAAGAAAATCACTATCCTGACACATTCCATCATTACATTTGGATTTGTTTCCTTCTGGGTTTGGCCTCCTCACCATGGTATTTCTTTTCATGTTCTTTTCTATACTTAATTTTAAAAAAAAGATATCAAAGAAGGGGAAGAAAACCCAAATTTATAAACAAACAAATAAATCATGGGATCTTCTAATGGGAAAAATTTACGTAAAAAATAAATTATGTACAGAGCCTCCAAAAAAATTATCTAAAAAGCAACAACAGTCTTGATACACAGCAAAAGAGCTAAAGCCAACCACTGTTGTAGAAATTTTTATGCTGTAAAATTTCAATATTGAACTATCCCTCAGAAGCAAAGGTTCTTGAGATACATATATACACACAGATACCATATATATATGTGTGTGTATATATATATGTGACTACATGTGTATGTATATATATTGGGCTACTATTCTTTCAAGATGATAAACTGGGTCAATTCAAAATGACTTTGAAAGTTTCTAATATATTTCTTACACTAGTGACCTCAGCATCTCTATCAATTTTTATATTTTCCAAGAGAATCCCATGTTGTACAAATAGCACAAGGCCTGAGTATCAGTGAATTTGACTTTTAGTCCAAGCTCTTCAGAAGATTACCTTTTGAGCCTTGGTAAATTACTTCATGCATCTTTGAGTTCTTTTGCTTTCTTTCTTTTTCTTTATTAAAAAGTAAACTAAAGTCCTTGTGGCAGGCAGCCTCTAACAAATAGAATACAGCAGCAATAATGAAATGCCACTTCCAAGATTGGGTTATAAAAAGACTATACCTTCCATTTTGGGTGTCACCTGCTCTTGTTCTCTCAACTATTTGCTGTGAGGGAAGACAGGTGCCATACTGTGAGCTGCCTTTGGACAGGTCCGCAGGGCAAAGAACTGAAGGAGGCCTCTGGCCAAGGGCCCAAAAGAGACTGAGGCCTTCAGTCCAATACCCCCAAAGAACTGAATCCTGCCAAGAGCCACACCAATGAGCTTGGAAGCAGATCTTCCCCCAGTCGAGCTTTCAGATGAGACTGCAGTCCCAAAGACAGCTAACCTGCAACCGCATAAAAGACCTTGAGCCACAGGCACCCAGATAAGCGGCACCCATATTTCTAACCCATAGAAACCGAGATAATGTTTGTTGTTTTAAGCCCTTAATTTCTGAGGTAATTTGTTACGCAAGAACAAATAAGACAATTCCATTCAATGCTAAAATTTTATAATCCTATAGTGCTTTAGGTATTAATTAACATATTTAGGTAGGCCAAAAGAATCAATTCGCTGTTCAACATGAGCAAATGAGTAATATTAGAATTGAAAGCAGTAAATCACAGAACTTAAACATTTACCTTTTATTCAAAAGATGAAATTAAACAGTATAGCATCAGTCAAATGTTATTAAAATACACTAGCTATAATATAAATATGGTCCCAACCAATTTTCATTTTCTTTAATTTAAAATAATTCATTTGGAAGCTAAAATGTGAATAAACCACTAAAAGCATCTCAGTGATTTAGTGTCTCTTACTTTCTGGAATTTAACATTATTTAGTAAGCACTCACCAAACTTGAGAAATCCCATTTTGTTTTTACTTAATGTAAGCCACTAAAAGTTACAGATGCTAATCTATAGACCTGTATGTATTTCTTCAACATTAAGAGTTTGGTAACATTGGTGGCAGATTCCGAGAAGTAGGCACAGTAAGATAGATATAGGGGTACATTTTTTGATATACAAAAGGTAATTTTATGACGAAACAAAAATGAAAGCATCTATTCACTTAAAATTGACCGTACAATTTTAAATATTCTATAAGCCTTTCCTTCATAATTATAAAATAAAGATCTGTATAAATTAAAACATGAAACTAATATGCCTATAACAGCACTCTGTGAGGTACCTGGATAACATTCTGAACTTATTCTTTCTCACAAACAAGTTATATTAGATTTATATCAATATAAAAATAATTCACAACCATCCCACGGATAATTCAGAATGCTCACAGCAGCACATCTTTAACACTTCATTTTCTCTTTAAAGACATCCCTGGTCTACTATCCTATATTTAAAACAATTTGATAAAATATCAAGGCATGTCAATAAAATGTAGAGCAGTTCTATACTGTCTATAGCTTCATGAAATCCACCTCTCCCTCCTCTGTCAAAAAAGTTTCCAGCTAGAGTTCATCCTAATTACAGCTAAGTACTTTTAGAGAAACCTATTCACATCTCCCAAAAATGCTCTACAGCGATATCCAGTCAGGCACATTAGGACATGCAGTTCCAAATTCCAAGCTACTAAATGAAAACAGGGGGGTTTATGGAGAGAAGGCCCTACTAACTGGAGAAGCCTTGCTGCTCACGAAGAATGAAGGGTCCAACATGTCTCGGAAATGTACTACTGATATAACTCACTGCTTCTATTATGAATCACATTTTGCCATCTGATAAACTGAAAGCCGTACAAAATTAAATCTATAAAATCCTCAACAGTTAAATACTGCTTTATAAAATGGCATTATCAAATTAATATATCTATAAATGTTTATACCACCACCCATCCCACAACTGACAGGCAATTCTCACTTGAATGTCTTGTTTGACAATATGAAAAGCACAAACATTTACTATCCCCATTCTTAGACTCCAAACTACTACAAAACTAAATATCAACTAAAAGCTTCTTACTCTAAAGAATTCATGGGGTCCTTCAAAAGCATTAAAAAAAATGTTTTTCATTTTCATTTCTTTTTCAAAGTAGGTACTCAAAAATTTGCTTTTATTAAGACAAACAACACAATTCAGCATAAATTTTAATATTTGGTAAGAGCCTATGAAATATTCTAAGTATATACAAATCTCAATCCATGAACTATTCCAGTGAAAAACTCCACATACCTCCAGCCAAGAAAAAAAGGAAACTAACATTTAGCGGACACCAATTTTATATGCCAGGAGCCACATTTTGCCATTTACATTAACTCATTTAATCCTCATCACCTTGGGATGTGGGGTGTTACCCTCATTTTTCTAGAAGTTGGGTTACTTCCCCATAGTCCATTGCTAGGATTAAAACCCAGTATCCTCTGGTTCAAAGTCCTCTTCTCTTCACTACACGTTAAATTATAAAGACTTGACTTCTTAAAATTTTGCCTGTCACACAAAGCTTGACCTCTAGGACAACATAATGGCAAAGGTCCTATATAGAACTTCAAGGATTTACTCAAAAATCAAAAAATTACAAATATATATAGAAATTATAATTATTATGGGTTCTAGACACTTATCTAATATTTTCTTCAAAATCTATCCAGAAGAGGCACAAATATATCTATACATGATTTGATCATACTGTGCGTCTCCAGCTACTCAGTCTAATATGAACACAATTCAATTTTACAATGTCTAGATTCTTCCCTCTCTTTATTACGATGTGTATACATAAATGATCAGAAACCCAGCGCTCAAAGTGTACAAAAGAAAAGGAGACACAGTGATAGGAGTAAAGAGAAGGTTAGCTACTAAGAAAAAGAACCCAATGTATTGGCCAATTATATCTTGTAGAACCTGATCTTAAAACAGGAAAACCACACAGCCTCACCTTCGGTATTGTTTATATACTAAAAAGTTTGATGACCATCTTAGATATTTTTGATATTATTTTTTGTTAAATAAATTTTATTTATTTATTTATAAATAAATAAAGCCATTCTTTCCCAGAACTTCATCCCAGGCAAGCCAAGTAAGCTAAAATGTAAAATTTACACGGTTTTCCATGCTGAAGTAGTTAGGAGTAAAGAGGTATGATGTATGTAACTTACTCTCAAATGGTCCAGGAAAAAAACATTATGTGTGTATGTGTGTGTGATAGAGAGATCAAGTGATAAATGGTGAAATGGTAACAGGTGAATCTGAGTAAAGGTTACATGAGTGTCCTCTGTATTATTCTCATTCTTGCTACTTTTCTGTAAGCTTGAGATTATTTCCAAATAAAAAGTTAAAACTTAAAAATTACACGGCATTCTATCTGAAGTTAACAACACATACTTGGATTATACAGCAACATTTTTACAAATACAAAACACGGCTTAAGGAAAAATTTAGTCATCTGTGAGGAAATATTCACCATATCCTACCAACTAATGATCACTTAGGAATAAATTTCAAACTACACTGCCATGTAATGAAATGTGGCAATGGTGACTTGAGTTGAAATCCTAGCAGGAAAAAAAAAAGGCACACACACCACATAGTTTGGCGTAAGTGCTTCACAAATTTAATACAGGCCTGCTGCAAAATGCAGCAAATCTACAATTCAAGTGATATGTGATATCTCTGGTTTGCAGTAAAATATAGACAAAATGAAAAATGAAAAACTTGCCATATTACAAAACAATCGAGATGCAGAATGTCTTGGTTTTGATGGTTTTATTAAATAAGAATTTTTTCCACTGCAGCTCAATTCACAACAGTATATTTGAATCATTATCTGAAGAAAGCAAGGACAGAGAAGAAATCTCCTGGAGAAACGTTGCAATCTTTTCTCCTACTAAATTACTATTATCCTGCCTGCCCATCACAATTTCGATTTCAAGTGTTCACCATGCTTTCTTAAAACATAAGGATCCATCAGAAGAGAAGTAATGCTCAGCAAAAGTTCACCAAAATTGTGAAATCATACATTAAAAAGAAAGGTTTTCAGCTAACAGTGAAATACCTTGAAAGGATAATCTATCTCTACCTTGTCTGCAGGAACCACCCACCTTAAAATCCTTTAGTACATTCCCCTAATTGAATGGTCCTTCTCTACCCAAGTAGTTCTTAACCTTTGGGGGGGCGGTCACCCAAACATGGACCCTTTCCAAAGAAAATTATTCACAAGTGCAAAATTCTGCCCATATTTCCAGGGACTTCCAGAACCCCGAGGCCATTATCCCCGCCCCCCTCCCTAAGAATCCCAGCTTAGCGTCTCCTCGATTGCCTCTGCAGAACACCCCCCTCGCCCAGTCCCCGGCGCTCCCCGGGAGGGACGGGAGGCTCTGCGCTCACACAGTGGATTCTGTAACCGAGCTTTGTCTCCGCGCCCAACTCTCTTCACCCCGGCAAGGTCACTAGCTCCCAACCACCCCTTTAAGCCGAGCCATCACGGCAGGAGTTCGCAGGAGCCACAGCAGAACTTGCCTGTCACAGGGTCTATTTTGTCCCCTCGGCCCCACCTACCCTCCCATTTCGGTGCGGTACGTCTTCACCACTTGCCCATTATACAGAAACAGCCGCCCCCCGGCGCCCCCAGGCCCAGTCCCCGCAGACCCTCCGAGGGCCTCCCTCCATCACCCCCTCCCGGGGACCCCCCCGCGGGCCCCCATCCCTCTCCCACGGCGCCGCTGCACCCGCGGCCCCTCTTCCGGCGGGTCCCACCCGGGCCCCGCGCCCCCACCTTCCGCGCCCCCCATCGGGTCCCTGCCCCCCCGCCCGCCCCTCCATCTGTGCGGGCCTCCCAGCCTGCCTCCCGGCTCCTCCCCTCCGGACACCTGTGTCGTCCCACCCGCCCCACACACGCCCCCCATTCCAGCACCTCCTCCCCCTCCCCCTCCCCCTCCCGGCAGGGGCGAGCCCGCGGAGGGCGGGGAGGCCGCGGACCAGCCGCTCTTCGCGGGGGGCGCCGCGCGCCGCAGGGCTCCGGCGCCCTCTGGCTCCTCCGCCAGCGGGGCGGAAGTCGGGGCCTCCCGGACGCCCCGAACGGCGGTATTTACCTTCTGGCCCGCGACACTTTGCAGACGGCTCCCACATTGGCAAACACTACAGAGAACTGACCCCGCTCGGCCGCCGCCGCCGCCGGCTTCCACCCCTCGGGCTCCCCGCCCCCCGCCTCCGCCCCCACATTCCCCTTTCACCTTTTCTCTCTGCAGTCCTCAACCACAATTAACCTAAATTTCCTCTTAAGCTTGTGCTTTACA